CGCCATATCGAGTCGGGAGGACAGCCTGTTCCCAACTGGCTCCTGTGAGCTTGACGTTGCTGATGCTTGTCAGAGCCGACTGCATGACTGCGTCCAGCTGGCTGAGCAGACTGGCTTGCCGGTAGAGTGGAGAAGCTCGCAACAGATATTGAAGCTTCGGTAGCCAGATACAGTTGCGTAGCAGGAAGAGCGCGGTGTGGGCGTCCAAGTGATGTAAGCGCTCTACCATGTGCTTGAGCTCACCCTGTTTTTCTTCCATGACGGTATCGGCTGCTGCTTCAGTGATGGGAGCGCCAAGAATGGTCTGCTCCGAAGCGCCGAGGACAGCTGCACCTGGGATAAGCTCGTGAATTCTTCTCACTGCCTGCATTGCCTCTTCATCAGCGCTGCCATCTGGCAGAATTATCTCGCACTTGGGTATAGGTACACTGTAAACCAAATTGACAAGTCTTGTGTAATATAACCAATCATCTCTTGGTATGTTTACCAACTGATACTTTTTAAACAAGCCGTTGTCTGGTGCATTGCTTGTCAGGTGACAACTACGAGTCAATAGATACTATGCACACCAACTTCTCAGTATCCAGACCAACTCTACATTTGTTTCAACGTTTGTTTCTTAACCAGTTTTGGAAACTTGTTGCCGCATGGTTATTTAACCGGCGCCTAACTTGTACTAGTCAGCTGGTCAGCATACACATGGTCAGCTGCGCCTATGACGTCAGACTTGGCGGACCAATCAGCGGTCGCCGCCAGCCGTTAGCGGGCCCCGGCGCGGCGGTTTCGAACCAGCAGTTGTCGCGCGGCCGCCGTGCAGCCTGGAGCAGCGACGAGGGCTGTTCCAGCATTTCTGCAGTAAAAAGTGAAATCTGTGAACTGTGGCGTTCGTGCTGTGAGTGAGGCCCCCTCTGGCCTGCGGGACGCACTAATCGTGCCTATACCCGCGTTCGAGACGCCTCCCTTCCCCTGCGCGCGCAATGTAAGTGGGCCAGACCTGTGCATGCACATGTGAGCAGATGTTTTGCGGTCGGTGTTTTTTATGTATAAATACATTTATTTGCCTTTAATTCAACTCTTTGTGTTTTTAACTTAACTGATGGACATATATGAACTGTAAAAGCTAATCTGGTTGGCGATCATGATTTATTCGAATTATCTGCGTGATCGTGCAACTGCCATGATTGTTATGGTCAATGTTCACGAAATATTCGTCATACGGGCATGTTATACTTCTGGCTTGATGCGGTGCACAAAACCATGTTCTTCCACATACGCAGCAGTTCTTGCTTCAAAGACTTATATGCTGACGGTGCACGATAGGCATACCCACTGGGTTATACCTCATGCATTTACCACATCCATTCGAAAATATGCACTCGGAATTGTCTCCAGTCAATAGTATTAATTACGTGACCGTAATAAATAGTAATGATCCCAGAAACTTCCGAATGGATGTGGTGTATGCATTCATTGATTATATAACTCATCAGTATTTCGTTTCTTGTCAGCGCAAGCCTTTGAGCAATAACTGATGCCAGTCATGGTATTGTGCACCACTTCCAGGCAAAAAATAACCTGTCCGTATATAAAATATTTCCTGAATCAGTATCGTCGCAATTGAAAACGAACGCGAATCGTAAGTTCTTAAGGTTATCAACGCAAACAAAGCGATTGTTGACAAGCTCGAACAGAGCGTTAGTACACTTACTTGTTGACAATTTGTAAGCTAGCAATGCCCAGTCAAAGGCTAGTTCATCAACAAACCAGGGGTTGGTGAACCGACAAGGAAACGAATATGCCTATCCAGAAGTTGGTAGGTCCACAAGGCCCAGACTAGTACTCAACAAGGTGACGCCTATGCGAATTGGAACCAAACTTGTAGACAAACTGTTAGTTTGTTGGCCAACAAGCCTGGGGTTGGTGAATCGACAAGGTATCGACAAGGTGACGCCTATGCGGATTGGAACCAAACTTGTAGACAAACTGTTAGTTTGTTGGCCAACAAGCCTGGGGTTGGTGAATCGACAAGGTGACGCCTATGCGAATTGGAACCAAACTTGTAACAAGGAGCCAACTTGTAGATTTGGTTTACAGTGTAGGGGCACCACTTCGATTCATGACCCTCCCCTTGGAGTTTTCCTGGATCCGCCCCTGTTCTTAGTGTATACTTTTATTGATTAGTCATATTTATATTAGGTATATTTTTATAGCAGGTATATTTTCACCATATTTATTTTTACTATATGCTTTTATTGTGTAGGCATGTAGCATGCAAAGCTAGTAGACTCTTATCTATTCTTTCTTTCGATGTATTCGTATGTTTTTGACTTCGCCTCTCAATGGGTACTGCCTGTTGGCGATGTTGTGAAATAAACAAATAAACAAATATTAGGAGGTATTGCTTCTTCCTGCGCACTGAAAGCATACAGAGGAAAAACATAAATATATAGGGTGTTCCGTGTTCAGTGTTCAGTAAAAATTGACAATCTTCAGAACGCTGTATACTAGACGTGCAGTAAGCAATTACGCTACTGATTAGCATATTATCAAAAACGAATATTTCTTAATAGGGCACGTGCTCAATAATTTGAAATAACTTCAGTTCAACAGTCGCGATGGAGGGCGTTTCGGAAGAGGACCGCCGAAAGGTCATTGGCAGCTTTTACCAGAAGCATAGCATTGGTCTATGGGAAAGGCATACACATATACGTACTTCTTGAAACTCGGAATTTCGAAGACAACCTCTTACCGGGCCATGAGAAAGATGGATAAAGGCGAGTTTCTAGTCAGAAAAACTGGAAGTGGTCGCAAAGCAAAGAAGATGACCTCTAAAAAGGCCAAGGCCCTGAAGAGGTACTTTGGGGTCTTGGAGAGAATCTTTGGGGGCCTCGCAGCGCAAGGTTACTATGATTGGTTACTGTGATGCTACTATACATTGATGGTATAAGGTTACCATTCACTTCCACACAACGACCATCGACGTTGGTGTGAGGCTTGAGTCATGCTTTCATCGCCTCTATTCTAAGCTGGAAATTAACTTCTTTTCTTATGCACTGAAAACTAACGAGGTCTTACTTGGTATTCCACACGCAGACCTTGGCCTACATTTACATAGAGCGCAGTTTCCCATACAAGGAATGTTTCAAGTTAATAGCTCAGTGCACTCAAACTGGTCATAATGCAATGACTAAGGGCAGACCGCTGGCCTTCAACGCTACTACACATTCTTCCGGCCGCCTTCGAGATTATGTAGGAAGCGTACCAGCTGCCACAAATGTTGAATAGCGCTTCACTTTGGTAGCCAGGAGTAAAACATTCTCACGTCATCCTCAATCCTCAACATTATCACGTCAGTCTAGATTTGATTTCGGCAAAATACAAATCACAAACAAATGCCATGGTTGGACTGTTGAGGGAAAAGGAAGGTGATCTGCATTACAGTAGACTTATAGCAATCACGAACAACGTTATGTAAATGGCTGCCTGAACAGCTGCAATCAGTTCTATGCATACCTTTAGAGGCCTAGGGGCCTGGGGACTTCCGCAATCGGCACCACCCAGTCCCTGTTCAGCGTTCGGGGTTACCGACGCCAGCGGCTGTCTAGTTTCCATAGCAACCAGCACTGAATCAAACACAGACATAATTAGGAAAGGTGTTAGAGACCATGATAATCAATGAAGTTGACAAGTGAATAGGTTTGAAAGCTGTTGCCTGGTGGCGTAATGCAGCGAAGGAAGCCAACAGCGTCAGCTTATGAAACGCCGGTATCGACTCTGAGGCCCGGACAACGCATACGGCCGCACTGCGGACCGTGGAGACGTGTATAACTGACATATTTACTTAAGCATGCACATGATGGTACAATTGTAAATACGGATAGAGGGAACTGAAAGTCGATACGCTTGTTCCGCTTGGTCACTTCATTGTCAAATCTAGGGGTAAGACTTTATGATCACTCAGTTATAAGGAAAACAAACAAACAAATCAACATATATCATTCCAGAACCTGACAATAGTTAAGTGGCTACCTACACGCCATTCGTATGAGCTATGGAATCATTGCAGGAACTGGATAACTGACGCAGTAAGGAACTAGCGTTCAACTATCCACCTTTGAAAAGATAATCACACCCTCTGATGTGATCTCCCACATTCCATCTCCTCTGTGAAAAGGTATCACAACCCCTAAATCCCCACAATGCTCCGCTCTGACTTTGGACCGGCTGCCGTGTCCCGGCAGCCGGCAGGTGAGGAGGCGTGGCGCGGTGACGGCGCCAGGCGTGACGTCACTGGCCGCCGGCGGCGGACTGCAGGTGGACGGCGGCTGATGGTCGACTGCCTACCCGACACGCAGCACACAGCCAACAGGGCGGAACTGTGCCGTAGCCGGGCGCTACCGGAGCAGCGGCCGCATACGCACCGTCAGCAAACTTTGACAAGTCACTGGCTAGGGACGGTCTCTTCAGTTTACCAAAAAGTGACCGATGTGACCTCATGACCGATATACGCTAAGCTCCCCAACCAAATTTGGTTAATGGTTGACAACCGACTAGATCACAACCAAAACAAACGACGGCGGTACGGGCAGTACGTCTGATCGATGTCAGATAATCGTGCGAACGTCCTTGTCCTACCTTGAACCGTGTCAACACATACGGCTCCGCTCCAGCACTGATTCAGGCCGACCTACGTGCACGAGTGAATGCAACAGTGATGTCCGTCCATCCCGGGCTGGGAGCCTTGCCTCAGCTATCAGACGCCAGGCACGAAACGAGCAAAACACAGACTGGAGAGTATAAACAACAGGGCGAAAGCGGCACGGCTCGGCGCTGTTTCGACACCGCAGCCGGAGAGCTCGGGCGCTGGGGAAGCACTTTCAAGCTGCCGCTCACCTGCGGGACGGGCTCAGGGCGGAGCCAACAGAGCGGGCGGCCAGTACCTACTGTCAGCCGTGAGCCGGGGAAGGAGCGCTGGCTGCCCTGCCCTCACCGACACTCACCTGTTGAGCACGAGTCCCGTCTCGGGCCGATCTGACAGAGTGCCACGGCCCTCTTCCTCCCGCACCGCTGCGCACTGCTCACCGCCGGGCCGTGCTGACCGCGCAACTGGCGGTCCGCCGGCGGCGACCGCGAGCCGCGCGGTACGGGCCGCCTCCAGCCGGCAGCGGCGGTGCCAGGCGCGCTGGAACGGGGGCACCGCGAGGCCGCCTCCGCCGCCCCGGCTCCGTCCCTCTGACCGCCGCCGGAATGGCAGGGAGGAAAACCTGCGCGCTTCCGCAGGGAAAAGGCACCGCGCCGCGGCACAGGCTCACCTCTGTGACGGACAGCTGATGTGGGCACTGCACAATGGAGGCCGCCCAGTGCCGCGAGCGCTGACCTCCCTGGCACATCCCCATCGGCGCGTCCCTGCCAGTTCCCGAGAGGCCGGCAAACCTGTTGGCTTGCCGAGGATTTTCCGTCGCCATGGCTGTGAATCAGGGAAGGAGTTCGACCTGTATCGGGAATCCTACAATCCAACAGGACCAACAGGTGTAACGTGCATCCAGATAAACAAAGCGCCGCGTTCTTAGCTTGGTGCAAGTTTGGTTAGATAGTGTGAGCATTGTGCAGTGTGCATGTGGCCAGGAAATGGGCCTCTGCCGACCGTGGCCTGCCTTATAATCAGATGAGCTGTCCGTGTTTTGCGGCGATAGCACAAAGAGTGCGGTGTGCAGCAGGGTCGTCGCCAAGGTCAGGGGGCAATGACCTTCCCTGAGTGACCCAAAGATTACTTTTCTTAGTTTGAAGCAATGAGCTCAATGCTTATATCATGTTAAGTTACAAGATGATGTTCTAAGTTCTAACACCATCTCACAATTAAAAACGATTTTGAAAATGCAGCGCAACGTTAAGTTGTTGACCGGTAAAGAACCAGCGAGCGCCGAGCACGGACAGTCAATAAATAAATATGGACGGTCAATAAATAATGTAAAATCATATATAGTCTGGCAAACCTAAGAAAGAATGGATTTAAAGTGCTGCGGCTGTTGATGCATGTGCATTTATATTGTGAGGGCTTTGTTTATCTGGATGCACGTTACACCTGTTGGTCCTGTTGGATTGTAGGATTCCCGATACAGAACGCGCATTTATATCTCTTCTCTCACAAGTTTTCACATAAATTTATCCGAACAATGCATTTCAGATGACTGCAACACGTGCAAAGTGATGGAGGCGCTTTAACTCTGTTCTTTCTTAGGTTTGCCAGACTATAGTATTTGCATTTTAATTTAGCCAATCGTTGGCACCACGACATAAGCCCATCACACATTTAGTGAAATTTCGTCTGCTATCAAGTAGGATTTTTTAAGCCTGTCCGATCGTCTGAAGTGCACAAATCAATGCACAAATGACAAATGAATAGGACGAAGTCCTACAGCACGAGACGAGCTATAGGACTGAACAGAAAGTGAAAAAGTAAAATCAAGAGTAGGATGATATTTTCGGTAGGTCAGTTTTAAGATATTGAGACCCAGTCACGTGTGCATTTCACTAGAGCATTAAAATGCCTAGGTAGTAGGTATGCTTTAACCCTCGCGGGCCCCCGGGGGGGGGGCGTTTTTCGCCCCCCCCCCCGGCGAATATTTGAGATAGCTCCCGAACGCTTAGGGATAAGAAAGCGAAACTTTCAGTACCTTTTCTCCCATCAATTTGACATCTTCTGAAATTTGCATCCTGCCGTCCTCTAGAACGCTTACTTTGAGATCACTACACATGTGCCGGTTTTTGCCTTTGACCTTGACCTCTGACCTTGAAAATTGACTTGAGGTCAAAAATTTTAGGTGCTTTAGAATCGTCTCGTAAAGACCTTTCGTTTGGTATCGCTTTTGTTTCCATAGCCCCCTTATTTACGGAGTTAGACGGGGGGGGGGCGAAAAACGCCTCCCCCGGGCTGCGGTGGTTGGGATTACCCCCGGGCCCGGCCGGGTTAACCCGCGAGTTGCTGGGGGGGGGCGTTAAACGCCCCCACTTTTTTCGCCGGGCCATAGCATAAAAACGGCGCGCCGCAGGCGCGCCAAATTTTGGGTGCCTGTAGGGAATTGATTGAAGTTTATTGTGACAAAGTTTCAAAAAAATCGGTCGGAAATTTTTTGAGATATCGAGGTTTTAGTGACGTCATGATTTCTGAGTTTTCGACCAAAAACGGCATATGTTCAAAAAATCATATAAAATCACAGAATAGACATACAGACATGCCGTAAACGCCATTAGACTGCCAATACCATGATCAATCAAATGGCTATCTTCGATTATTGATTATCGTTCCGCATTTTCCATAATCTTGAACTGAATCGTGGCAATTTCTCGTGACTACTTCACGACCATGATACATGCATTTCTTAAATTGAACTTTTTGAGCCAAATACGTACACATATGATAAAATGAATGTCACCATCGTGTTCTACGCCCCAAATTACCTATAAAACATGTGTCACAGGCTGCGAATATCAGTTTTGATTTTCGGGGATATGTGCCTACCCGGTTGACCTGACCTTGACCCTGACCTATGCTTGACTGACCCCTACATGGAGCTGACACTCTTGTAGGCCTTATATGATGGATTGTGCACCGTTTGGACAGAGTTTATGACGATAGGCGCCCATTGCGAAGTCCTGAAGTCCATGCTACTGAAAGCTCGATTTCAGGTGTTTGACCTGACCTTGACCCGACCTGTGACCTCAACATTCAACTTTAAAGTACTCATCTGAAGCGTCTCGTCGCGCTCTTTCGTTTGCCGCCTCGTGCGTTTCGCTGCGCCTATTGGTTCTCGAGTTATCGGCCGGGGGTGCGTTTAACGCCCCCCCCCCCCCCCCCAGCAAACGGTGGGTGGCGAAATACCCCAGCAACTGCCGGGTTAAGAAATCCGGCTTTATAGTGTGTTCCGTTTCATATCAACCTTGCAAGCAAAGTGACCTCCTTAAAACAGTGCGTGATCTCAGTACGCATTATATTGTAAGACGAAAGGCCACCCCACACTGGACCTCGCATGCGGGTTGCGAGTTTGCGAGTTTTGAGTTTGCGGGCATAATACTAATTCATAGAGTGATTAGACCGTATCTTTATGGTAACTTCTTGAATGCAGTGAAGCCGGTACACCTTCAGAAAATTACACATAGTCGCAATACCACCGCAACGAACCAAAATTGGACTCCAACGAAAAACCCGCAAACCTCGCAGATCTCGCAGACCTCGCAGCGAGGAAAATCGAAAGTTGGCTCAAAATCAACTTTTGGAATGCGATGCAAGGCGGCTCGCAAGCTAAAAACATGCAGACTCGCTTTTTAGATGGTAGTGTGAGTCACTCAGCCTAGATTGTATTATTCGATTTTGAAGAAACCCGAAAACCCAAAAACTCGCAACCCGCATGCGAGGTCCAGTGTGGGGCGGCCTGATGAATTGTCCCCAGTGCCAGTCGCAAGGCCATATACCTGGTGGCCCAAAAACGTCCCAAAATTTGAAAGTATATATCTCGAGTTACAATGCAAACAGTAATCTGAAAATTTTATCACATTTGCGTCACTTCTGTGTGCATCGGTATACTAAATTTTAAAGCTGTACATTCATTTTCCCGCTAGCACTCTTCAAGTTGAATAAAGTAGCACGTTTTTGGTTATTTTGCCGATTTTGAACCATGATGAGGTTTGGTTTAGACGTATACTGTGATAAAAAAAAACTAAAAAATAGAGCACGTGAATAACACCAGCACGTGTGTTATTATTTCATTTTTTTGTCATACATATGTGCCCAAATATTCCGACTCAAGACACACTTTGGTTCCAACAGGACGGCGGAACTGTCCACACAAACACCGCAGCTCGAGGCTGGCTCAGAGACAAGTTCGGGGCGGCCGGGTCATAAGCCGGCTGACGGATCGGCCATGGCCGGCTCGCAGTCCAGATTTGTCCCCGCTGGACTACTGGTTTTGGTCGGTGGCCATTTCAGAAGAACGAAGATGTGCTCCATCTTCTCTGCAGCAGCTGATCGGCCCAGTGGAGGACCTGGCGGCCGCCATGCATCGAGAGGATGTAACGCATGCCGTCTCTAGCATCCATCGACGAGCCGCTATATGTGTGGAAAGAGCCTCTGTGGAGACCGTTTAGATGGAAGCCTGCATGTCAGGCATAGTTAACAAAATGTTTATCTATTGTGGTTATCGTGATATATTTAAATGATGAAAATATGTTTCTGTCTGTCTTTGGGCGGTTTAAAAAACAACAGTCTACCAGAAAAACCCTGTAAAGCGGAATAAGATTCACCAAGGGGATGATTACAAAGATTTGGTAATCCAGGTTCTGAACACCGGGCACCGACTGATGGCGAGGACGTGGGCCTGCGCCCAGGCCACTGGCCTCCCTCTTCTAAACGGTCCACCAGTCCCGAGACCCCTCGGCCCAACTCCAGCCCCCACCCCAGACGGATACGTCTCCGACGCGCTACGTCAAAGAGCGTGAAGAGCTATATCGCCTGTCGGTGGAGCGGGTGAGCCCCTTTAGACCAGACCAGAGTGGAGTCTAATGGAGATTCCATTTAAGAACGTCAACTCCAAGCGGCAATACACCCAACACTTGACGCGCCTCCTGCGAGCATCCTACAATCCCCTTGACAATGACACGCGCCTCCTGGGACCGGACAATCCCCTCGAGAGCCTAGACTTCCGAGTCCTGGTGGCGGGCACCTCCTCGCAGGAAGCGGTGCGCAGCACCCTCTCGTTTTTTTTTTTAGGGAAAAGTACCCGACCGGGTACATAATGTGCATGACCCTAAGTGGGTGATCAAAATGATCGGGGGCAGGATTATCGTAGTTCAGGATGACCTCGAGCTGCGCTGGCAGCAGTATCTCGAGGCCCTGGGCAAGCTCATCGATTATGAGCTGTCGATGGCGGCTGACTCTCGAAAAGAGGCCAAGCGTGCCCGTCGAGACCGCAAAGTCGAGGCGTACCAGAACGACCCAGGTACGGAGAGTCGCGCCAGGGTCCGGGAGCGGGGCCTGCACTGGCTCCGCGAGATGCAGGAGTTCTGGTTTCAGGCGTGCGAAGATGATCCCGAGTCGGTGGCGAGGCTCTCCGCCCAAGTCCTTTACATTCTATCGAACCTGTTTCAAGGACAACGAACACAGGTGTTCGCCGAGGTAACAGTGAGCGAGTTCCGCCAGGGCCAGAGCACCGAGCACGGACGCTTTGTGGAGCACCAAGGCGGAAGGACAAAAGACGAACACAGAAGCGCGGTGGCC